CTTCCCCTCCAAGGCCTTTGTCCCTGGCGCCCGGGCAGCGCGTGCCTGCTGAGGGGGTAGGAAGGTGGGTGGGTGCACGCGCACCCGTCCCAAGGCGCGCGTGCTGCTGCGTTTGTCCGGCCCGCGAGTCTCTTTGCTCAGCGAGGTGTGCGCCTGCCTCCGCCTGCCTGCTTCTCTAATGAGGGAGGCTGGCGTTTTGGGGTCATTAGCATACAGCTGCCCGCTCCCTCCCGCTTCACCTCCTCCTCCTCCTCCTCTCCTCCGGGCAAAGCGCACTTTTATCCAGCCCTTCTCATCTCTCAACCCTCAACTCGAACAACAAGCCGCGGCTCCTCACACATGAGCGGGCGGGCGGGCGCACTCCCTCCCCTTCGGACACGCCAAAGCCTGAATATGGATAAGGATGTTTTACATCTCGGCCTGGGCCTCAACTCCAAAGATTACAGCAGCAGCAGCAGGAGAAGAAGGAGGGGGTGAAGTCCTCATTGAAGTCACCAATCGTGGTAAAAACCTTCTTGCCAAGTGCAGATCTCTGTTGTCAGAAGCTCCAAGTTATGGTAACCTTTCTACCCAGGCCAAGAGCACTGACCAACCCTCCCTTCCCAGCCACAGAGTCCACTCCACACTGCTTGCACATACACAGCAGGCATGGGCCAACTTAGGCCCTCCCTCTAGGTCAGTGGTTCTCAACCTGGGGTCCCCAGATGTTTTTGGCCTACAACTCCCAGAAATCCCAGCCAGTTTGCCAGCTGTTAGGATTTCTGGGAGTTGAAGGCCAAAAACATCTGGGGACCCCAGTTTGAGAACCACGGCTCTAGGTGTTTGGGACCCCAACTTCCACCATTCCTAACAACCTCAGCCCCCTTCCTTTAGCCCAGGGGTCCACAAACTTTTTAAACAGAGGGCCAGGTCACAATCCCTCAAACTGTTGGAGGGCCGGATTATAATTGAAAAAACACGAATTCCTATGCACACTGCACATATCTTATTTGTAGTGCAAAAAACACTTGAAACAATACAATAATTAAAATGAAGAACAATGTTAATAAATATAAACTTAAGGAGCATAGTGTCTAGATCTAGGGAAGTCATGCTCCCCCTCTATTCCGCTTTGGTTAGACCACACCTGGAATATTGTGTCCAATTCTGGGCACCACAATTCAAGTGAGATATTGACAAGCTGGAATGTGTCCAGAGGAGGGCGACTAAAATGATCAAGGGTCTGGAGAACAAGCCCTATGAGGAGCGGCTTAAGGAGCTGGGCATGTTTAGCCTGAAGAAGAGAAGGCTGAGAGGAGATATGCCCATGTATAAATATGTGAGAGGAAGCCACAGGGAGGAGAGAGCAAGCTTGTTTTCTGCTTCCCTGAAGATTAGGACAAGGAACAATGGCTTCAAACTACAAGAGAGGAGATTCCATCTGAACATTAGGAAGAACTTCCTGACTGTGAGAGCCGTTCAGCAGTGGAACTCTCTGTCCCGGAGTGTGGTGGAGGCTCCTTCTTTGGAAGCTTTTAACAGAGGCTGGATGGCCATCTGTCAGGGGTGATTTGAATGCAATATTCCTGCTTCTTGGCAGGGGGTTGGGCTGGATGGCCCATGAGGTCTCTTTGATTCTATTCTATTCTAATAGTATTTCAATGGGAAGTGTGGGCCTGCATTTGGCTGATGAGATAGGATTGTTGTTGTTGTTGTGTGCTTTCAAGACATTTCAGACTTAGGTTGACCCTGAGCGAGGGCCAGGTAAATTAGCTTGGAGGGCCGTATCCGGCCCCCGGGCCTTAGTTTGAGGACCCTTGCTTTAGCCCCTCAGCTGCTTAAGGGCCTGAGGCTGTTAGAAATGGCAGAAATACAAGTCCAAAACACTTGGATGGCCCAAGTTTGCCCATGTCTGACATCCAGGCATTCTCAATTGTTACCACACGGAAGGTGTATATACAAGAAAGGTTCTGAAGGTTTCTTCTCAAGTTGAATTTGGACATGTTTAAAGTGTATATATATATGTGGTTACACTTCACACACACACACACATATATGGTTACACTTTAAACATGTCCAAATTCAATTTAAGACAAAACCTCCAGAACCTCTCTTGATGGTATCTATCTATCTATATACATACCAACAAGTTACCAACAAGAAAGGTACACACACACACACACACCTTTCTTGTTGGTAACAGTGCTCTTGGCCTGGAGAGAAAAAGACTGCCATAACATACATACATGCACACACATATACACATACACATACAAACATATATGTAAAAAAGCTTTGGATAGCATAGGTAGGCATGTAGCGGGGGGGGGGGGGCTGAGGGGCTTCAGCCCCCCCCCCCCAAATTCTCAGGGTGGTCTGCGAGAAGGCCTTACTGGTATATTATTTAAACTGTTATGTTTATTTATATCACGATCTGATCACTATCTAAATAAATAAAAATGTAATGTTTGTTTGTGGGATTAACAGAACTCAAAAACCAGTGGGTGAATGGACACCAAAGTTGGACAGCATACACCTAACAACCCAATGTATGTCCTTCACTCAATTCTTTTTGATTTTGTCATTTGGGAGTTGTTGTTCTTGGGATTTATAGTTCACCTACAATCAAAGAGCATTCTGAACTCCACCAATGATGGAATTGAACCAAAGGTGACAAACAGGACTCCCATGACCAACAGAAAACACTAGAAGGGTTTGGTGGCCATTGACCTTGAGTTTGGGAGTTGTAGTACACCTACATCCAGAGAGCACAATGATGGATCTGGACCAAACTTGGCACGAATATAGCATATGCCCAACTAGGAACACAGATGGAGCTTGGGGGAAATAGACCTTGACATATGGGAGTTGTAGTTACTGGGAATGAAAGAGCATTCTGAACCCCATGAACGATAGAATTAGGGCAAACTTCCCACACAGAACCCCTATGACCAATAGAAAATACTTAAGGCCATCCAGTCCAACTCCCTTCACCAGGGCAAGAAAAGGTAATCAAATAATGTTTACCCACAAGCAGAAAGAAATTACATATATTAGAAACCAACACTTTCTAATTACTTTATTTTCCAGATCACTAGACTGGGCCACAGCAACACGTGGCAGGGGACAGCTAGTCCTCAATATATCCCATATGCATGGGGATATTGGGATAACGATACAAAAGGGTTGCTATGGTAGATCCTCAGCCCCCCTCCACACCGAATCAAACTCAGCCCCCCCCCCCGCCCCAATTAAAATCCTGGCTGGGATGGGCCTGAGCATAGGGAAGGATTAACACCCCTGTGGTGTTTATTTTGTTGTCTGTGCCCCTCTTCAGAAGATTTCACCTCACTTGTGCTGGCAGGACTGAAGACTGACAGGTCGGAGGTTCAAGTCCGGAGAGAGAGAGCAGATGAGCTCCCTCTGTCAGCTCCGGCTCTCGATGTGGGGACATGAGAGAAGCCTCCCACAAGGATGGTAAAACAGCAAAACATCCAGGCATCCCTTGGGCAACGTCCTTGCAGACAGCCAATTCTCTCACCCCAGAAGCGACTTGCCTTTTTTTGCAGTTTCTCAAGTCACTCCTGGCACGAAAAAAACCACCTCACTTTCTGTCCCTCTGCTAACTGGATTTTGAAACACATGGCTTGTTGTGGAAAGAAGGATTGGGGATAGAGCTTCAATGGAGACACCTTTTCCCCATGATAACTCTTTCAGGACAAATTTTCCTTCTGAGGGGTAGATTTCTTTCACTTCCTGTTGTCTCACCGTCTTCTTAACATAGCAATGTTACTATGGTTTGGGGGGGGGGTTGCCCCTATTACCTAGGTCCCTAGGCGCTTTAAATGTTATTGGACTCCAAATCCCAGAATCCCTGAGCATTGGACATTTTGGTTGTGGTTTTTGAGAGCTGAAGTGGCAAGGAACATACAACAACAATATAAACCATTGTAAGCAAATTTAAACAATTGTCATGCTATAAGTTCTGACAAGGGAGAAACCCCATGGTTGAGAACAACAATGTATGAGCACTCTGTTTACGTAGCAGTGGCTTCTGCTCTGATGGATGCCCACCTTTTTACTGGGGAAGTCAGCAAAGCACAGTGGGGAACATAACAAGGGTTAAAGGTAAAGGTAAAGGTTTCCCCTTGACATTAAGTCTAGTCATGTAGGACTCTGGGAGCAGGGGCGGCTTAACCCATTACGCAAAGTAAGCATTTGCAGTATAGTTGATTTTGCCCAGGGGCACTCTTGAGGCGCTCTTGGGGGAAAATAGAGCTTGACATATGCGAGTTGTAGTTACTAGGATGTATAGTTCACCTACAATCAAAGAGCATTCTGAACTCCACCAATGATGGAATTGAACCAAATATGGCACACAGAACTCCCACGACGAACAATATATATTGGTTGGGGGGGGGGTAAAATAGTGTTTGCTTACCATTGAAAATTACTTAGGGCCGTCTCTGTCTGGGAGTGGTGCTCATCTCCATTTCTAAGCTGAAGAGCCAACGTTGTCCGTAGACGTCTCCAAGATCAAAACTGCATGGGGCGCCATTATCTTCCCACCAAAGCAGTATCTATTGATCTACTTACATTTGCATTTTAAATCTGCTAGGTTGGCAGAAACTGGGGCTAACAGTGGGAGCTCACCCCGCTCCCCAGATTCAAACCACCAACCTTTCGATCAGCAAGTTCAGCAGCTCAGCAGTTTAACCCATTGCGCCACCGGGGGCTCCTAAAAAGGGTTAAAAGGAAGCAAATATTTCATTTCACTTGGGGCTGAGTTGGGTTAAACTTCGGGTTTCATGGACAAAGTGGGTTTGAGGAGAGATTTGATGGGGGAGGTACATCAAACCAGGTAGGATGTGGGGTGGAAGAGGAACCTATAATGCTCTCTATATATCTTCACACTGAAGTAAATTGCATAGGCCACACACACACACATGACAGCTAAGCAATTTGCCCCATAATTCCTGTGAGTTGTGGCTGATAGCAGCTGGAGCACAACAACATCACAGTTACAAAGTCCAACTCCTCTTTAATGTCAACTTATTTTAAGAGATGACTAAAAAATACAGTACTACTATAAATATTTGGTTATTACATATCTTGAAAGCACAAACATACAAGATTGTAGCAAAGGAAACCACTAAAGTAAGCCAGGAAAGAAGAGAACATTTCCCTTTCTGACATGAGGTGACAACTGGGTGAAATTATAGAAAGCTAAGTCAAGACAAGGTTATGTTAGAAAACAAAATTTAGACAACAGTATTGAAGTTATTGATATGTAATTTTTGTTCTGCCTTTAAAAGAAGTTTTCTGTATATTTCAGAGCTTTTCTGGTAGCCTCATACTATAATTTACCTTGTCCAAATCATCATATACTTCTTTCTGTCTCACTTTCAATTAGTTCTCTTGCACATACCACATATTGGAATCAAACTAAACGAATGTAACAGAAACCCAAGAAATGTCAAGAAAGTTTAGCAGTGCAATCCAGTAAACACTGACATATGAATAAGTTACTATTCTCAGTAGGACTTGGTTCTAGGCTGAAACATATAGGAGTGCAATCTTGGGGAGAAAGGAAATTGTGAAAACCGGTAAGAAATGTTATGGTAGGTGTTTGGCCTCGTAGTCCCAACCTTCTTTTTTCAGTTAGTATTATGGCCCTTCATTTGGCAGAGACAAATTATAACTATGTCAGAAGTAAAGGTGTCTATATTCAAAAGTGTGTATTTTATTGTGGTACTTTTACTACCAGTATTCTATATCCTCAAATTCACTATTTGGAATAAAGGGAAACAGTCCAATTTCATTTGACAGATTTCATTTGCTTTATTTTCCCGCCTTGGGTGATTTTTCTATTTTATTGATTGGGCCAATAGCAAACAACGTTCAATGGGCCAAGTTGCAATTGGTCAATGGGTTGCTGAGATGCCTCTGGAAAGGGAGTTAACCCCACAGCTGCTGGGTCACTAGCCAGCACATTAGAGAATTGACCTCCCTCCCACTACAATGTACCTTCTGTCCAGGAAGACAGAGAGATACAAAGTTCGCATTTGGAACGAACAATTAAAAAGCTAAAATGCAGTATGCAAATATCACCAGCCATCTGTCAGGTTCTGCTTGGGAGGGAGTCCCTGGCTCAGAGCAGCTCAGGCGACTTCAGGGCTTAAAGGCAGCAAAACTCAGAAAGCTGAGTCAGTGCAGTGAAACGGAGTTCCTGCAATATTAAACCGAGTCACTGAAAAGGAGACAAAGGCCCTTGATCAGAATTTTGCTGGTTTCAGATCAGATAAACAGGAGCAAAGAATAAATGCCTTAAAATTAAAAATATATATCTTTAATGGATAGCTTTCAGAAAATTTTGCACTCTGTAGGAACTGTTTTGAATGTCACTTAAAACTGCATTGGTTTTTGTTTTATGTTTTGAGACTGCTTTCCTGATTTATAAAATTAGCATTATGCTCCACCTACTGGGGTGTTTTAAAAAGACACATTTTCACTTGAGCAGTCAGGAAAAAATGAGACCTGAGTAATATACCATCATGCCCCCTCTCACTCCCAGAACTGACTTTCTAAATGAAAAAAACCAGCAATTCCTAAACGATGCCTGGCCAAGCAAACATTGGCAGGTGATAATGGTTATAGTCCAGATAACTGAGAATGCTTTTCTCCACCAGTCTTTTGTGGATCGAGTTTTTATAGGACCGTTTGAGGTAAGTCTTTGGTCTCTCATATAGTGTAAGCTCCCCTTCCACCACTTGGCGAATGAGTTCTTCCATGGAAGGAATATCTTCATCCTGTTGGTAACAAACAACAAAAGAATTTTTTTTTTGAGAAGAATAGATTTGATTAGAGTGGTGTCACCATCTTCTGCTACTTCAATAAAAGTAATGCACAAAGGATTCAGGAATAGCTCCCAAATAAATACATTGAGCACACGCAATGGACAAAATGCTGCACCAGAAAGAGGATTCAAATCTAAGACAAAAGTCAAACTGGGATTTATTGCTTTGTGTCTTTAGCCACAGGCTATCTGTTAAGCCTCCCTTTCACCTTCCCTTATCCCCAAGGCCCTGACAGCTAATACGGAGAGGCAGCTGCTCGCCACATTCCCTGGAAGAGAGGGAGGGAGGCAAGAGATCGCTCAAGTGTTTCTACCAGTGTGATACTAGCATTTGTGTTGGCAGAGCATATTTGCTAACAAAGTGTTAGGATGCCTGGCACCAGGAAAGTAGGAAATGTACCACACAGAATCAATAATGACAGTGTCCAAGGGCAATTTCATTTTTGCCAAAACACAAAACGTAAACCAATCTATAATATGAGTAGAAAAGAAGCAGTGGCAAAACCCTTTCTTTCCTTTCTTTGTTCTTTTCTTGGCAGCAACATTTATAGTTTACATTTCTTGGTAAAGAGACCAATCTTTGTAAAGCATAACTGCATAACTGAATATGTTGGTGCTTAAAAAAACTTTTAAACCCCTAAACATAATATACATTGTTTATCTTTCAAAGTGTATCCTGTCTTAAACAACATCCACACAGGCAGCTCAGATATACTTGGGGTTCTACTCTCAATAAGATCATAACTTAAAGAATGCTGATCGCATGTGTGGCAGTGCATTCAGGTATATACCACTCATACTATCAGATTTCTTTAAGGAGATCCAATTAAGTGAAGGCCTGTAGTGCAACTGAACACATAGGAGAAGCAGAGAGTTTGATCCAAAGGAGTTCTGGCAATTATACCTTAACTTACACCTTAAGTATGACTGCTACCTGGCTGGGCTTCATTTGCCACTAAAATCGAAAAACATAGCCTGCCTTAAAATGTTTCAGGACAACAGCCAAAATGTTCAATTTGGGGTTCAATATCATGCTGGAGAGAACAAACAGTGAAAAACTTGTGTGCAAAATTCTTTGCAAGGGAATAGGGTAGTGCCTGGGTAGAGGGTCCCTCAACATCCTAGCATTGGCAGGGGCTTCCTCCTGCCAGACTCTGTGAAAGGCTCTTACAGAAATTTGACCCTTAATATGGGAAAGGCAGGCTGAGAAAATCAAGAGTGCTAAAGTCAGGTGGTATGAAATCGTCTACAGTAGAGAAAGACAAAGGCTAAGAGGCATTATACTTTCTCACACACACAATTCCTTTTGACAGGGACAACAACATGGTATGCAAAACTATTGTTTGCTATTTTTTTGTATCCAGAAATAAGGATTATGAAATATGAAATATGAAATCTATAAAGCACTAACAAGAAATTGGAACGGTTATTTACTTGGACTATAATTCTAGGAATCCCGGGTTTCATGAAGTCCAGAAAGTAATGTTCTATAGGCTATGGGATAAACTTACAACTTTGTAAGTAAATGTAGCAGGTTTTGTTATAGAAATACAAACAGAAGATACATACCACCTTTTAAATTGTGGATAGACTCACACCACCATTGATTTAAGCAGAATAACCATCAAGCAACATGACTTGTCACACTCTTACTGTAAAATGAGGTGCAGTGCTATTATCAGTACTAAACACAAAGGTTATTGGAGGATTAAAACAAATGGATGATTCTGTCTACTGATATTGGAAGTTATTCTTTGCAAAGCTCCATTGTTTGCTTATTGAATGCAACATATTCTATTTAATTTTTGGAATGGTATTCCAGTCAGGCCTAAGGATCAATGTCTGTGTACGGCTGTGCAATCTGGACAGCGAAGAAAGCTGACATGAAGAAAATACAGTAAATGAGTTCGAAATGAGGTGCCAGAGGATAATTCTATAGATACCATGAGGGGCCCAAAAGTCAAATGAATAGGCCCTAGAGCAAATAAGGCCTGAATTTTCCCTAGAAGCCAACTGAGGCTCTCAAACTTTGGACATAACATGAGATGATGTGATTCACTGAAAAAATAATGAAGCTCAGCTAAGTGGAAAGCAGTAGAAAAAGAGGAAGACAGTAAACAGGTACAGTGATATATCCAAACAGAAAGGAGCAGTGTGTTGTGCAGTACATCCTGTATTAAAGAACTACAAATTGAAAGGTGGAATCATCTGGTTTAACATATAGTAACCTATATAAACATTTAAAATGGGAAACCAACATGCTAGGGAGAAAGTGTTTTTTCCCTGTCATCCTAGCTTTCCTGTCAAGCAAATCACAAAGTTAAATCGAGAATTGTGGTAGGTGGAAAGATGACTGATACGCCAATATCTGTGAAGTTTTGACCTTGTCCCATATTCTCATAAGAGGATTGCAGAATGTGAATACTGAGAACATAAAAATAAGAATGAAAGTATTCAGCTGGCTGAAATCTAGTTTCTCTTCAACTTAACCTGAATCACCATGGATGCGCCCCCAAAAAAGCCTGATCCATATCTAGAGACGTCTCAAACATACAGCATTTCTAGACTGTGTGCATACATTTTTATGTGTAAAAGCTATCTGGTTCAATTCAGTACTAGGGGCAGGTCCTGAGAATACTTTTCATCTTCTCCTCCTGATGAAGGATAATCATCATTCTAGGTTGATGGTTTTTGCTTCTTCCAGAATGCTGACATTTGTCCACCTGTTTTGCTAAAAGATTTGCAGGATTTTTCGAAGGCAGCACTGATGAAATCTTTATATAAGTCGAGAGTGATTTTTGTAGATGGTCCATATTTCACAGGCATACAATAGAGTTGGAAGGGCAACAGCTAAATAACAAGCATCTTGGTACCTCTACAATTGTCCCAATCCTTGAAGACTCTCTGCTTCATTTGAAAAAATGCTGCACTCGCAGAGCTCAGACAGTGTTGTATTTCAGTATTGATGAATATCGAAAAAATATTCAATATTATTTCCCAAAGAATATCTTTGTATTGAAAATGACAACAAAAAGGGCAAGCAAAACGGGAAGAGGGATGAATGGATCACCTTCCCTGTAATGAAAAGTTAAATTGTATCCTTTTAAATGTGGGCAGAGGATTTGATTACGTCCCCTTAATAGGAGGACCTAATGGGAGATATGAAGATTAAAGAGAGATATGGAGGAGATCGTTGTTCTTGTTTCCATCAAGTCATTTCTGACTCCTGACACCCTAAGGTGATTTTATCACAGAGTTTTCTTAATAACATTTGTTTGAATGGAGTTCGACTTTGACATCCTCTGAGATTGAGAGAGTACGACTTGTCCAAAATCACCCAGTAGATTTCCGTATTTGAGTGAGAATTTGAAGCCTGGCCTTCGGGATTCAGAGTCCACTGTTCAAACCACTAAAACAAGGGAGAAAGAGGTCTATAAAATTAAGGAAAATGTAGGAAAAGTGGATAGAGAGGAAGTGAGTAGTATTTGAGATCTTCCAATTCAACTGCCTGGCAGTAGATTCAAGACAGATAAAAGAGAAATGTTCTTTTACAAGATATTATTATTTATAGAATTCAGCAATCAGGTATGGAGATGGCTACTATGGTATTTATTAAACATTATGGCTGTTTGGATCACAATGAACCCTGGATTCAGCAAAATTATGACCAGGATTCTGTATAGCTCATTGTTGCATAGTAGATGATAATCACAGGTAACTGAAATTCAAGAGTCTGGCCGCAGATCAAGAAAGGATGGTGACTGAATAAATGCTGTGGAGCCAACACCTTTTCATTGTAAATATACTATTCAGGCAACTGAACTGATAGCTGATACTTGGGGATCACTGGATGGTCAATACAGAAATCAATTAAAGAAGTTCAATTCAAGTCCAGGGCAGGTTGCAACACAAGCTATGAATTGCTAATATTAAAAATGAGAGTAAATGTAAAGAGGAACATTTGGTTGTGATCAGTTTGTTCCAGGACACTACATAGAACTGGTACCAGTGAAAGCAGTGGGAAAGGAGAAAACAGCATTACCATTAATTAATGGAAGTTACCATTAGACAAAACTGTCCAAATGAGAATATATGGATTTAAAACAAGAATCAAAAATAAGAGCAGTTCTAAAAGTAAGTATAAATCATTTATAGTCTTTTCTCGAGGTCTTGTCATTAACGTTTGGGCACTTTACATTTGGACGAAGAAGAAAGAGGAAAGGAAAATGCACTGGAAGATGAAAGCAAAATCCTAAAATGGCTAGCAAGGCGCAGTGTTCACATGATAAAATGCACTTGACAGCCCTTTTCTTTACCTCCGCAGATGCTAGAATCTGGCGCAGTTCTTTCTTCAGATCAATAAAACGATCGTGAAAGATGGCCAGGGCCCAAGGTTCCTTGAAGTAGCTGGTTAAAAAAGAAGAAATTTAGTTACCCAGTGAGCCTCTCATTAGCCACTAATAAAGTGTTTACCTGCTTTTTTGCTTTTATAAATTACAGTTCTGGACCCATCAGGATAGTTTGTTCATAAAATGCCTCCCATAACAACATGGTCAATCAATTCTTTTAATGGATGTTCCTGATGTACAGCCAGCTTCAGTAATTACATTTAAAGTGGCTTAATTCAGAGCTGTGGCAAGAGCCAGTGAAGAATCCTGATTTTATCAGAATTTAAAAGCCTGAAGACCTGTGAGGAACCGTGTCTCCATTATCTGTCCTCGTTTGAGAAAAGCAGATGGCAGGATTAACTGAACTCCTGCATAAACAAATTACATTTGTGTAGACAATGACACAAGTGTTGTTCATCATTAAGGTTACTGGATTAATAAAGGCCAGAAAACAGGCCATAACTGTGTTGCAATATGTTCCTTGCACTAGTGCACTGAAGCTAAATTAAATTTGTCATACAAGGAAATTCTCGATGTTTATGTTCCTACAATAAAGAACAGAAACAAAACCTGTTTTCTGTGCAAATCAATATTTAAGTAAGTCACCTAGACCCTTGGAGGCAAGGCAGGAGGCAAATATTTGAATATACATTAAAACACACAACCATAGGGGGAGAAGGGGAAATGTAACAAACTCTCTTCTCATATTCTATTCTACAGCCATAGGAAAAAATATAAATAAACAAATGGTATACAACAAGGTGCTGCAACTTAAAGGGCAAATTGAGTACTAAGACTGCTGCATTTGAAAGCCAGTTTACACATTTTCCTATTTCACACTTCCATAGCCAGTTTCACAGCAAAGAGTCATCTAACATTCACCAGAAGTAGATGTTGTAGTTTTATAATGCTACTCAAATCCTGAGAAGTAATTGTTGAGTGGGATACAAAAAAATGACTTTAATTTGAGGCAGATGACTCAGACAATTTGTTCATGAAAAGCATAGCTGTATGATAAAGAGCCAGAATTGTCAAATGAATCTTTTCTTTGTAATTTAGTTATGTGTAGTTTAAAGGGAGAGATGTGTGCACTACGTGTAACAGGAATGGAAAAGAGACCTCTATTTCCACCCTTTCACACAGGCCCGTAGCCAGGATTTCGTTTCGGGGGGGGGGGGGGGGGGGGGGGTTGCGGGGGGGGCTGAGTCTGAGTGAAAGAGGGTCTAGCCTAGCAAACCTTTTGTATCATTACCCCAATACCCCCATGCATATGGGATATATTGAGTATGGTGATCAGATCATGATATGAATAAACATAACAGTTTAAATAATGCACCGATAAGGCCTTTTCGCGAACCACCATGAAAATTTCGGGGGGGGGGGCTGAAGCCCCCGAGCCCCCCCCCCCCGGCTAAATGCCTGCTTTCACACCTTTCTATGTAGTTTCTATGAAAGGATGAGGAAGATGTATGGGACACAAGCATTGTTCTTATTTCCAGTGCAAAATACTCTGTATGAGCCTCAATGTATGTCTACATTTATGGAAGATTCATTTTAAATATGGACAAATGCTAATTTCCAAGAGAAAGTCAACACTGCAGTTATTAAGTATGATAGAATAGGGATTCTGTTAGTGTACCGTCCACCTCGCTGCACTACAGTCTCCCTACCTGAGCTAGCGGGGGTGGTCTCGAGCCTGGCGTTGGAGTCTCAACGGCTTCTTGTGCTGGGGGACTTCAACATCCATGCCGAGGCGACCCTCACAGGAGCAGCTCAGGACTTCATGTCCGCCATGGCAACCATGGGGCTGTCCCAACGAATAACTGGCCCTACCCACTGTGCTGGACATACATTGGACTTGGTTTTCTGCCAGGAATGGGAGCAGGGTGGCGGTGTGGAGGAGTTGTCCATCTCTCCGTTGCCATGGACCGACCACTTCCTGATCAGATTTAGGCTCACTGCGCCCCCTAACCTCTGCAAGGGTGGAGGACCCACTAAGATGGTCCGCCCCAGGAGACTGATGGATCCGAATGGATTCCTGACGGCTCTTGGGGATTTTCCTGCCACCTCGGTAGGTGACCATGTCGAGGCCTTGGTCGCTCTCTGGAATGGGGAGATGACCAGGGCAATTGACATGATCGCTCCGGAGCGTCCCCTCTCAAGTAGCCGAGCTAAACCAGCCCCTTGGTTTACCGAGGAGCTGGCAGTGATGAAGCGAAGGAAGAGGGAACTAGAGAGCGTGTGGCGTTCGGATCCAAGCGAGTCAAACCGAGCACGGTTTGTGTCCTTTCTTAGGGCATATGCCGCGGCAATAAAGGCCGCAAAGAAAGTTTTCTTTGCGGCCACTATTGCGTCTGCAAAGAACCGTCCGGCGGAGTTGTTTCGGATTGTTAGAGGTCTTTTAACTCCCGCCACCTCTGGCAGGAGCCCTGACAATTCGGTCACGCGCTGTGAAGCATTTGCTCGGTTCTTTGCAGACAAAGTCGCCTTGATCCGTTCTGGGCTGGACGCCGCGTTAAATGCAGTCTCTGAGGATGTAACAAGAGCACCTGCTTGTCCTATTTTGATGGATTCTTTTCAGTTTGTGAAACCCGAGGATGTGGACAAGATACTTGGAGGAATGAGGCCCACCACGTCCATCCTAGACCCCTGCCCATCCTGGCTTCTGAAGGAGGCCAGAGGGGGATTGGCTGAGTGGGTAACGGTGGTGGTTAATGCCTCCCTTAGGGAAGGCAAGATTCCAGCGTGCTTAAAACAAGCAGTTATAAAACCGCTGTTGAAGAAACCATCACTGGACCCCACTAAATTCGACAACTTTCGGCCTGTTTCCAATCTCCCCTTTTTGGGCAAAGTCATGGAAAGCGTGGTGGCCTCACAACTCCAGGTACTCTTGAGAGACACGGATATTCTGGATCCGGCACAGTCTGGCTTCAGACCGGGACATGGTACCGAGACGGTCTTGGTCGCCTTAGTGGATGATCTGCGCCGGGAGCTAGACAGGGGGAGTGTGTCCCTGTTGGTGCTCCTGGACCTCTCAGCGGCCTTCGATACTGTCGACCACAGTATCCTTCTGGGGCGCCTTGCGGAGATGGGCCTTGGGGGCACTGCTCTGCAGTGGCTCCACTCATTCCTGGAGGGACGCACCCAGAAGGTGTTATTGGGGGACTCCTGTTCTGCCCCACAACCTTTGACTTGTGGGGTTCCACAGGGTTCCATACTGTCCCCCATGCTGTTTAATATCTACATGAAGCCGCTGGGTAAGATCATCCGGAGTTTCGGGGTGCGGTGTCATCTGTACGCAGATGATGTCCAACTCTGTCACTCCTTTCCACCTGCTACTAAGGAGGCTGTCGAGGTCCTGAACCGGTGCCTGGCCGCTGTAACGGTCTGGATGAGGGCGAACAAATTGAAATTGAATCCAGACAAGACAGAGGTACTCCTGGTCAGTCGCAAGGCCGAACAGGGTATAGGGTTACAGCCTGTGCTGGATGGGGTCGCACTCCCCTTGAAGGCGCAGGTTCGCAGCTTGGGTGTGACCCTGGATTCATCGTTGAGCCTGGATCCCCAGGTTTCAGCGGTGACCAGGGGAGCATTTGCACAGCTCCGGCTCGTGCGCCAGCTGCGCCCGTACCTCGGGAAGTCTGACTTGGCCACGGTGGTACACGCTCTGGTCACATCCCGCCTTGACTACTGCAACGCTCTCTACGTGGGGCTGCCCTTGAAAACGGCCCGGAAGCTTCAGCTGGTTCAGCGTGCGGCAGCCATGTTACTAACTGGAGCGGGATACAGGGAGCACACAACACCCTTGTTGTCCCAGCTCCACTGGCTGCCGATTTGCTACCGGGCCCAATTTAAGGTGCTGGTGTTGGCCTACAAAGCCCTGAACGGCTCCGGCCCAAAATACCTTTCAGACCGCATCTTGGCCTATGAGCCCACGAGGACCTTGAGATCGTCTGGGGAGGCCCTTCTCTCGATCCCGCCTGCCTCACAGGCACGCCTGGCGGGGACGAGAGAGAGGGCCTTCTCAGTGGTGGCCCCCCGGTTGTGGAACACTCTCCCTACAGACATCAGGCAGGCGCCCTCTCTTTTGTCCTTCCGAAAAAGCCTCAAGACGTGGCTGTTCGAGAGGGCATTTAATTAAGTGCTATAGTAATGTGGTAAAGACGACTGGAATGGTACAAGGAATACGAGATTGGTCACGATTCTATTACGAGACGAAGCGGATTAGTTAGTGTAATTTTAACTGTTGTATTGTTGTATGGTTAATATGCTGTTGTACTTGTCTTTGTGTGAATTGCCTTTTGTACTGTACACCGCCGTGAGTCGCCCGAGTGGGCTGAGAATGGCGGTTAATAAATGCTCCAAATAAATAAATAAATAAATAGAATTGCATGTTTGTGAAAAGACAAACTCAAGAGGCCTCCCTCTATCTAGCAGTAGTTCAAAAGAAAAGAGAAAATGAGATGAGATATAAACAATGGATGGAAACATTATTGTTGTTGTTGTTGTTGTTTTGTTTAGAAAAAATAGCCTTGTTTCTTCTGTAAGCACAGATATATCATAGCTCTGATTCTCATGTACTACATTTTAGAGGACACCTGACTTCTTGTTGTGACTCTTAGGTTTTTAACAAGAATACAGGCATTCTCCGAGTTACTAACATCCGACTTACAAACAACTCATAGTTAAGAACAGGGCCAAAACAACAGGAAGTGAGAGAAATCTACCTCTAGGAAGAAACCTCATTCTTACAGGAGTTATCATGAGGAAAAATGGTCTCCCGTGAAGCATTATCTCCAATGCTTGTTTCCAAAAAAGTAAAATTTTTCAAAATCCAATTATCACAGGGAGAGAAAGTGAGGTGAATTCTTCTGAACAGGAGGAAATACAGCAAAACAAACACTACATGGGTGTTAACCCTTCCCTATGCTATCCAAAGCTTTTATTTACACACACACACACACGTGTGTATGCATGCATGTATACTGTGTGTATGAAGCTTCACTTTAAAAAGGTACC